TGACAACACGCCCAGGGTGAGATAAAGGCAGTTTAACAGGTAAAGCAAAAGCCAGGCACGCAGGCAAAGCAAAAGGAATTTGTTCACTACTTCCCGTTGTCGGCAGGTGTTCGACCGTCTCCCCAGGAAAGCAGGGCTCCATCACCAGTAACGGTTACTTCAGAAGACAGCCATCGTAACTCTGAACGCCCCCCTTTTCCTCCTTCTTCCCGCAGCTTTTATTGCTGGGCACGACGTCATACGGTATGGAATATCCCTTGGGTCAGTTGGGGTCAGCCGTTGCAGCTGCGTCCCCTCCCAGCTTCTTGCACAACCCCAGCCTCCTCGCTGGCGAGGCAGGGCGAGAAGCAGAAAAGACCTCGACAGGGTGCAAGCCCCGCTCAGCAACAGCTACACCATCCTGGGCGCAACGCTGCTCACAGACGCAAAACACAGCCCCGCACCAGCTACTACGAAGAAAATGAACTCTATCCCAGCCAAAACCAGTACAGAGAGTCAAGTGTTTCCTCACTGTGCCAGAAGACAACTACTTCAAAGCGTTGAGCATCCACATCCACCTCGTTCTAAGGTTGAAGTCCGTCCCAGAAAAAATACAATTTTGCACAAGAAATTCCTACCACAACGATTCTTTCTAAAAATATCCTCACCCCAATATATGCACCCGCCCTGTCTCTCCCTCCTATATACAACGGTGAACCAATATTTCAAAGTATCATTGAGAACATGGAAGAGAAGGATAATACCAGTGTTTAAGGTCTAGGAAAGATACTACAAACTAACCCTACGATAACTCCTCCCTTCTGTTCCCTCAGGGTAATTGTTCTATTCTTTAGCTGAAGCGGTAAACTTACATTGAGCTGAAGGATCTTCATGTGTAAAGAAGATGGCTAAATGCAGCTGTGCCAGAATTTCCCTGGCCACAGCACCAGGTTGTCTGTCAGCCCTGACTCCCTCCCTAGCACTCTCTCCATATGTAGCTGAAAAAAAGCAGTATGGAAAGTTCCGCTTCCCAAAAAGAACCATTCACGTGTAAAGCCTGTATTTTAAACAATTATGGTCAGTGGGTTGGGGGGAAAAAAAAAAAAAAGAGAAAGAATGGCGTAGGAAAAAGGCAGAGAATATAAACAGCCTGATCCGGAAAGAACGAGCTGTATCAGCTTAACTTGGCAGAAAGCAAATCCTCTAAATTTCTTCTCTAACATCATCGTGGACTTTCCCTATTTTTGCACCACCTGATGCACAAGCAGCACAGGCTGGCTGCGTTTCACATTTTGTCTTCTCTTTGCTAATGACAGCATCATTCGGTCCGCTTGACCCCAGAAGATGACGATCAGCTCCTGAGTGGTCCTGAGGAAGGAAGGGAGAGGTGGGGAGCGTGCCGAGAGCAGAGAGAGGGACCTGAAGAGAGAAGAGGAGGGAGTTGAAGAGCTGAAGAGATGAGAAGGCAGGCCTAGATACTGGCCCTGCAGGTCACACAACACACGGAGGTATTTCTGTTAAAAGCATCTGCGCAGCCAAGCCAAGAGAGTTGTGACCTCAGAATTGTATCGTCAAAGGTGTAGCAACACAGTGCTGAGCATAAGCCATCATCCTTAACGCGATTCAACAGCTTGCAGCCATGTAGAGATGGTGTTCTGGTAAAAAACAGAAGAAAAAAGACTCGGTAGGATGATTTTCTTCCAAGAAAAAGACTCTGGATGGGACATTTATTTCACCGCGCTGTGGAAGAGCAGAAATCACTGAAAAGCAGCTAATGGAGAAGACAGCTCCTGGGTAAGACAACCACCTTTCTTAGTCTCACGGAGTCCGGTGAGCCCTCCCAAACCAGTAGACCTGAGCAGCCCAGTAGACCATCGATCACCACCCTCCAACCTGTCAGCCAGTTTCCTACCCATCTCGCAGACCACCCGCCTGGCCTGTGCCTTGCCAGCTTGTCCAGGAGAAGGCTGTGGGACACAGTGTTGAACGCTTTGCCGACATCCAGGCAAACAACATCCACTGCTCTCCTCACGTTGACAGAAAACGTTAATTTGTTGTAGAAGGTGGTCAGGTTAGTGACATGATTTATCTTTGGCAAATCCCCAGGCCTTTGTCAATCACCTGCTTCATTGGGATACAATAGAGCCCGAGTTCCTGTTAAGAGCGACATGTATTGGTAAATACGGATGTGGCTAGCAAACACTGAGTAGACCAGAAGATGACTCACTAGTAGATGGCTTGGCCTGCCCTTGGATAAGTGGTTTTGTACAACAAACCGTCAATGACAATCACTCCTGTCATCTCAAAACAGAGACAGACTGTAGCAAAAAATACCCAAACAATCAAACAACCAACCAACCCCATCTTAGAATAGAAGAGTCCAGTTGGAAGGGACCTACAACGATCATCTAGTCCAACTGATGACTTCTCCACTCCCAAGCTGACCAAAAGACAAAGCACGTTGTTAAGGGCACTGTCCAAATGCCTTTTAAACACTGACAGGCTTGGGGCATCGACCACCTCTGCAGGAAGCCTGTTCCAGGGTTTGACCACCCTCTGGTGAAAAAATGCTTCCTTATGTCCAGTCTGAACCTCCCTTGACAGACGCAGCTTTGAACCATTCCCAGGTCCTGGTCCTAGATCCCAGGGAGAAGTGCTCAGCACCTCCCTCTCCACACCCCCTCCTCAGCAAGCTGCAGAGGGCAATGAGGTCCCCCCTCAGCCTCCTTTTCTCCAAACGAGACAAACCCAGACTCCGCAGCCGCTCCGCACAGGCCAGCCCTGCCACCAGCGTGGTTGCCCTCCTCTGGACACATTCAAGGACCTTCGCATCCTTCTGAAATGGTGGGGCCCAGCACCGCACACAGCACTTGAGGTGAGGCCACACCAACGCTGAATACAGTGGGATAACCATCTCTTTTGCCCGGTTGGTGATGCGGTGTTTGATGCACCCCATGATGCCGTTTGCCCTCTGGGCTGCCAGGGCTCACTGCTGGCTCCTATTGACCTGCTGCCACCCAGCACCCCACATCCCTTTCTCCTCTCCCAATTTATACTTGTACCCAGTGTTACACCGTCCAGGTGCAGAATCCGGCACTTGGACTTGTTAAATTTCATGCCACTGATGATTTCCCGATGCTCCAACCTATCTAGATCCCTCTCCAGAGGGTCAATAGCACCTCCCGGTTTGGTATCGTCAGCAAACTTGCTAATGGTGCCTTCAACTCCTGCATCCAGATCATTGATAAAAATACGGAACAGCACTGGCCCAAGGACTGAGCCCCGAGGAACAGCGCTGGTGGCCAGTCGCCAGCCAGAGGTAGCCCCTCTCACTACAACCCTTTGAGATTGGCCTTTCAGCCAGTTCTTCACCCAGCACACCATGAACCTGCTCATCTCACAGTTGGACGATTTGTCCAGAAGGATGCTGTGAGCGACAGTATCAAAAGCCTTACTAAAATCTTTACTAAAAAAATAGTCAAACTGAGGAAACAGAGACAGTGTCTGGGATTTGTAGAGGATCAAGCAAGATCCTGAGTCAAAAGGATGGTTCCATAATAATCACTGACTCCTAAGAGGTATAAAAGACATGTCCAAACATCCCTTATCCTCCCACAAGTGGGACCACATGGACATGGCGCACAGGTGACATAGGCTTGTGAGAGGACATGCAGAAGTGATGAGAGAATGAACGTGAGTAAAATCAGCCTACTTTAAAAATAAGATCACCCTCCTCTTCCATTAGGTCTTGTGCCGACTTCCGATACCTTCCTACACCACCGTCTTCTTTCTCCTGCCCTCCTGCTTGAGTAAGCCTATTTTTCAATGCATCTTTTGCAATCAGGGATCCTCCTGACTGCCACAGGCTGATTTTACCTTCCTACTCTTTTCTTTTCCCGACTATTGCCAGATCTTCCAGGCTGCTTTTGGGTAAGAGCAGCCTGAACCGTTCTGTGGCCTCATCAACCCAAGCAGGGCGCTGGATGTGGGCACCAGTCTGCCCACTGGTCGGGGAGCCTCAGAACCACCTCTGCCAGGGTAAGAGGGCACCTCGGGAAAATAAATGAGTACTGGTATGCACAGAAATCTCTTTTGCCTTAACGCACCACATGAGAAAGCTCTGGGCGATGTTAACATCACTGTCGTTATCTCCCCCCAGGCTAATCTGGTTTGCTGGCTGGGAGGGATACAGACCATACCTCTCTCTCTAAATCACTGGGATAACAGCTCTTGCCCTCTGCGAGGGCAAACGAGGACTTGCTGTCAAGGACAGACTGGAAGACAAGGAAGCAGAAAATAACGGCATGCCTAAAGCCTGACCCTGCCAGACGGATGTCCTGGGATCTCTTCCCTCAGCCTGGCTGCTGGCATTTCCCCTCCCATAAATAGTACTTAGAAGTTAGGCCTTGGGGCACCCTCTCTTCTCCGGCCAGTCCTTCCAGGACTGCAAACCTGTACCTGCGTGCTGTATGTGGGACAACGCCAACACCTATTGGGGACAGCCTGCAGCTGGCATCACTGAAGAGGCCATAACCTGATGCTGTTGTGGGCTTTTGGACAAGCGTATTAGATCAAAACGAGTGAGGAAGAGCAACATTTTCACTTGGAGATGGTGGTATAGCATCCACAGGTTCTTCTCCTGTGCCTCTGATGCTTCACTTGCACACCCCAAGTGAGAAAATGCCTCCTCTGGCTGGTGTCACTTCCCTAATAAATCAGAGCAAACTAAGGGGAAAGAGAGATGGAGTATCCACACCCAGTACCCGCACCCTTGGTTTCAGCGTTCAGATTAAATAGGAAACCCACAAGGTCAAAACCAGTCATGTGTTCTTCAGAAAGAGCAGGCACCCCTGAAAAGAGGAGTCACATTCCTTTACTTGTTCCATCACACTAGAGAAATAAAACAAGGAGCATTCCACGCGCTTGCTTGATCCATCAGTTTATGACTGAAGTGCAGTTACCGAGCTAGAGGTGCCATCCTCGTGCAATGGTATCTGCTCGCTTCTGGGTGCGTGTTGCTCTCAGGAACTGGAGGGCAGCGTCTTGTACGGATTGAGGATCCCTTTGGGGTCTAACATCGCTTTGAAACGCTGCATTAGAAAGATCGCCTCACTGGGTTTGCTGTACTGAATGAACTGCTTTTTCTTGAAGCCCAGTCCGTGCTCTGCACTGATACTGCCATTGTATCTTGCAGTCCACTCGTACACAAACGGTTCAATGGCATCCAGCAGGGAATGGCTATAGGACTCCGCCGTGACGTTCAAGTGCAAGTTTCCATCTCCTAGAAGAAAACATTGCAGAGGTGGGTCTGTAAGAAAAACTCAGTGGCCCTGCAATGGAGACTCGTTACCGAGGCGGTACTCAAACAACGGTGCCTTTGTTAGTTTCCAAACTGTGCAAAAAAGGACAAGTTCGCTCTCCTTCTACAAACATCAGCCTCTCTATGCACAGATAATTCAAACAGGATCTTTGTTTTTCCATGCTTTCAGTGCAATATTTGAGGAAGTCTTCCGAGTTAAGCTACTTTCAAATTCCCACTCTTGTGATTTTAAAATGCAAACTGTGCTGCATTAATTATTGTCCCACTACCAAGATGGCATGCCAAAGATTACCCCAATGGTATTTCATAATGATCATTAGATTTTAATATGGCCCTTCATCGCTTTCTCTCTCCCTGTTATGTTTGTGCAGTGTTCCGAATGCACTTTGGCACTGTGTCAACGGAAACAAAGAAAATAGAACATTTTCTCCTTTCTGCCACTTGCGTGTGATGGTATTTGATTAAGCACATAGTTGCTGGGTATTCAGAAGACACAAACCACACAAAGATAAACACAACTTGCTCATTCTCACTCTGGAACCTCTTCCTGCATCCCAGCAAACCCTCAGTACACAGCTTAATCCTCAATACCAAGAGGCAGCCTTTGTTACGCAGACTTCTCTTTCCATGTCTCTCACATCATCTCAAATCAAGTGTGCTGAAGAGCGTTCTGTTCTTTTCTTTTTTTTTTTTTTCAAACAGAACAGCTCTGCCTGGTTACCAATTTACCTGCTTGTAAAGTCAAATTAGTTTCAAAGCATTCTGAAAATGTACTGGTCTTTATGTGCATTACCTTTATCGCTCTCTTTTGGAGGGTTAATTGGTTCAGACAAAACTGATTTCCAATACGATCAATCACTTTGGACAAGAAAGTGTTTATTTACCAAATATGTCTAAGTACATTAATCAAATTGATTGTCCAATTAAATAACCTACACACTTAAACAGAAAGTACAGAGCAAGAAGATATAAATGACCA